ATGAAACACACACGACATGAAACACACACCACATGAAACACACACCACATGAAACACACACAACATGAGACACACACCACATGAGACACACACAACATGAGACACACACAACATGAGACACACACCACATGAGACACACACCACATGAAACACACACCACATGAAACACACACCACATGAAACACCACATGAAACACACACCACATGAGACACACACAACATGAGACACACACAACATGAGACACACACCACATGAGACACACACCACATGAAACACACACCACATGAAACACACACGACATGAAACACACACCACATGAAACACACACAACATGAAACACACACCATATGAGACACACACCACATGAGTCACACACACCACATGAAACACACACCACATGAAACACACACAACACATGAAACACACACCACATGAAACACACACACCACATGAAACAAACACATGAAACACACACACCACATGAAACACACACACCACATGAACCACACACCACATGAACCACACACCACATGAAACACACACCTCATGAAACACACACCACATGAAACACACACACCACATGAAACACACACGACATGAAACACACAGCACATGAAACACACACGACATGAAACACACACCACATGAAACACCACATGAAACACACACAACATGAGACACACACAACATGAGACACACACCACATGAGACACACACCACATGAAACACACACCACATGAAACTCACACCACATGAAACACACAACACATGAAACACACAACACATGAAACACACACACCACATGAAACACACCACATGAAACACACACCACATGAGACACACACCACATGAGACACACACAACATGAAACACACACCACATGAAACACACACCACATGAAACACACACACTACATGAGACACACACCACATAAGTCACACACCACATGAAACACCACATGAAACACACACCACATGAGACACACACCACATGAGTCACACACAACACATGAAACACACACCACATGAGACATACACAACATGAAACACACACCACATGAAACACACACCACATGAAACACACACGCAACATGAAACACACACAACATGAAACACACACAACATGAAACACACACACCACATGAAACACACACGACATGAAACACACACCACATGAAACACACACCACATGAAACACACACAACATGAGACACACACCACATGAGACACACACAACATGAGACACACACAACATGAGACACACACCACATGAAACACACACCACATGAAACACACACCACATGAAACACACACCACATGAAACACACACCACATGAAACACCACATGAAACACACACCACATGAAACACACACAACATGAGACACACACCACATGAGACACACACAACATGAGACACACACAACATGAGACACACACCACATGAGACACACACCACATGAAACACACACCACATGAAACACACACCACATGAAACACACACAACATGAAACACACACCATATGAGACACACACCACATGAGTCACACACACCACATGAAACACACACCACATGAAACACACACAACACATGAAACACACACCACATGAGACACACACCACATGAGACACACACCACATGAGACACACACCACATGAGACACACACCACATGAGACACACACCACATGAGACACACACCACATGAGACACACACCACATGAGACACACACAACATGAAACAAACACAACATGAAACAAACACAACATGAAACACCACATGAGACACACCACACGTATATTTACCAGCTTTCATTGTAGCATTAGCAATTTTCCTAACTAATGTGTACGGGTCCAGGTCACCTTTGTTAAGGAACTACCGGCGGAAATGTCCTTGAATGTTTCCTATGACCTGAGACTGACAACAGCTGTCCCACCAGCACGAGCCCCAAGCAGCCCCATAACGGTGTCAGTAGACAACGTAGTGATTGCTAAATAATCAGCGTTAGAAGGCTTGGAATAACGAGCTTTGGTCTTCGCTTCAACTTTGCTAAACCATGATTCTAATAAGCAAAATGTGGGACAGCCACTTTTACTTTTGTCCACTTTTACCACTTTTGTCCTTAGCTGAATGCTGGAGATTAGTACTAGCAACTGTTGTCTTCGAGTCAAGAGGAGTTGCAACAGTGGCAGGCATTGTCACGTACGTGGAAATTACGTTTTATTGTAAATTATAATTAAGCATATAAGGCACTTAAAGAATGCACAAAGATATAACACTCAAAACATCAAACTTGGCTCAAGTAAATGGCAAAAATAAAATTTTTAAATTGTAATCAGGCAACAAATTAATTGTAAAACCAAGCAAAATTGTGAATTAAATTAGCAGTCAGGAATGGATATGACTTGAAATTGGAGTTTTGTAATCAGGAGTTGTACCTGAGAACGACCACTGGGGAAAATAGGAAAACGGCGTGAAGTTTTTTTTTTCTACCAGAGACGTGGCCACACAGGGCGTGAAGGTGCGTGAAGAGGCGCACGTGGAGTTTGTTTACATGTGGGGCGACGGTGGCGCCCCTCGCGGCAGAGTCCACAAGCCTGGCTGGACCCCACAGTAGAGATGACCATGTTGGGAGCACGACCATAATGGCGAGGCTTGTGGTGGGTGCGAGGCTGGTGGTGGTGGCGGTGGCGAGGCTGGTGGTGGCGAGGCTGGTGGTGGCGGCGAAACTGGTGGTGGTGGCGAGGCTGGTGGTGGCGGCGAGGCTGGTGGTGGCGGCGAGGCTGGTGGTGGTGGCGAGGATGGTGGTGGTGGCGAGGATGGTGGTGGTGGCGAGACTGGTGGTGGTGGCGAGACTGGTGGTGGTGGCGAGGCTTGTGGTGGTGGCGAGGCTGGTGGTGGCGGCGAGGCTGGTTGTTACGGCCCTCTCGGGTCGCAACCGGGTTCTTACTCTGATGTTGTTAGAGGTAGGGTATCCGGCCCCAAGCTAGTAGTGGCTTTCAAGGGATGTGATCCGTAATGCAAGTAAATTAAAGGGGGAGGGAAATAAAGGCAAAAACTTAATATAATATAATTATCACCATCACCATAAATATATATAAGACGATTACACGGGGGGGGTATATAAACACTATTATATACACTGTTGTCTTCTTCTGAAGACTCTGGATCTTCACGGTGCTCACGATGCCAAGCTCTTGGTGCTCTTGTGGCCTCACGACGAATCCTTCGAGAATCTGAGTCTACCCTGGCCACAGGCCAGCCAAATCACAGTTCCACTGGGGGCACCGTCGTGGAGGCCGTCAACCACAAGTCCAGCAGATAGCTGGCAGGTTCCAAATCAGCGACGCTGGTTAGGCCACTCCACGATCGATACTAAGGTAGCGAAACCCTAGTCAGGAGCCTCGTGTGATACCACAGATCACTCTCCTTGCCACAACTCCCCAATGGTTAAGCGTCTCCTCCAGTCAGTCCCGGATATGACAATCCCTCAACTGCCACTTCACAGGCAGGTCAACACCACAGTGTTCATCCGGGGGCGACTCACAGCTGCTGCAGCAAACACTTGGAGACGAGACGACTGCCTTGGGTAGACTGACTCAACTTCCATTACAGCAGTCCCAGGTCGACTCTGTAAGCAGACACGTCATCAATAATAGAGACACACTAGGGCATGTCACTTACCGGCTTAGACACAAACGCGACGTATCTACTCCATAGATGGCGTTGCTGTCTAAGCCCCACCTCACCAGAGGTCAGCAGCGGCTGTGTTATGAGCTGATTAGGACTGGAAACTAGCCCTTGTGGCCAGTACACCTCGTCCTCACCAGGTGTCGTCGTCCATTTGGAGGGGGTTTCGGGAGCTGACCCACAGATGGCGTGGTCGTCACAGCTCCAGGCTCGGACGCTGGATTCGGGTCCGTAACACTGGTGTTGGTGGCGAGGCTTGTGGTGGTGGCGAGGCTGGTGGTGGTGGCGAGGCTTGTGGTGGTGGCGAGGCTTGTGGTGGTGGCGAGGCTTGTGGTGGTGGCGAGGCTGGTGGTGGCGGTGAGGCTGGTGGTGGCGAGGCTTGTGGCGGCGAGGCTGGTGGTGGTGGCGAGGCTGGTGGTGGTGGCGAGGCTGGTGGTGGTGGCGAGGCTTGTGGTGGTGGCGAGGCTGGTGGTGGCGGCGAGGCTGGTGGTGGCGAGGCTTGTGGCTGCGAGGCTGGTGGTGGTGGCGAGACTGGTGGTGGCGAGGCTTGTGGTGGTGGCGTGGCTGGTGGTGGTGGCGAGGCTAGTGGTGGTGGCGAGGCTGGTGGTGGTGGCGAGGCTTGTGGTGGTGGCGTGACTGGTGGTGGCGGCGAGGCTGGTGGTGGCGAGGCTTGTGGCGGCGAGGCTGGTGGTGGTGGCGAGGCTGGTGGTGGTGGCGAGGCTTGTGGTGGTGGCGAGGCTGGTGGTGGTGGCGAGGCTGGTGGTGGTGGCGAGGCTGGTGGTGGTGGCGAGGCTTGTGGTGGTGGCGAGGCTGGTGTTGGTGGCGAGGCTGGTGGTGGCGGCGAGGCTGGTGGTGGCGAGGCTTGTGGTGGCGGCGAGGCTGGTGGTGGTGGCGAGGCTGGTGGTGGTGGCGAGGCTGGTGGTGGTGGCGAGGCTGGTGGTGGTGGCGAGGCTGGTGGTGGTGGCGAGGCTGGTGGTGGTGGCGAGGCTGGTGGTGGTGGCGAGGTTGGTGGTGGTGGCGAGGCTTGTGGTGGTGGCGAGGCTTGTGGTGGTGGCGAGGCTGGTGGTGGTGGCGAGGCTGGTGGTGGTCGCGAGGCTGGTAGTGGCGAGGATGGTGGTGGCGGCGAGGCTGGTGGTGGTGGCGAGGCTGGTGGTGGTGGCGAGGCTGGTGGTGGTGGCGAGGCTGGTGGTGGCGGCGAGGCTGGTGGTGGTGGCGAGGCTGGTGGTGGCGGCGAGGCTGGTGGTGGCGGCGAGGCTGGTGGTGGCGGCGAGGCTGGTGGTGGCAGCGAGGCTGGTGGTGGTGGCGAGGCTGGTGGTGGCGGCGAGGCTGGTGGTGGCGGCGAGGCTGGTGGTGGCGGCGAGGTTGGTGGTGGCGAGGCTGGTGGTGGTGGCGAGGCTGGTGGTGGTGGCGAGGCTGGTGGTGGTGGCGAGGCTGGTGGTGGTGGCGAGGCTGGTGGTGGCGGCGAGGCTGGTGGTGGCGGCGAGGCTGGTGGTGGCGGCGAGGCTGGTGGTGGCAGCGAGGCTGGTGGTGGTGGCGAGGCTGGTGGTGGCGGCGAGGCTGGTGGTGGCGGCGAGGCTGGTGGTGGCGGCGAGGCTGGTGGTGGCGGCGAGGCTGGTGGTGGTGGCGAGGCTGGTGGTGGTGGCGAGGCTGGTGGTGGCGGCGAGGCTGGTGGTGGCAGCGAGGCTGGTGGTGGCGGCGAGGCTGGTGGTGGCGGCGAGGCTGGTGGTGGTGGCGAGGCTGGTGGTGGCGGCGAGGCTGGTGGTGGCGGCGAGGCTGGTGGTGGCGGCGAGGCTGGTGGTGGCGGCGAGGCTGGTGGTGGTGGCGAGGCTGGTGGTGGCGGCGAGGCTGGTGTTGGTGGCGAGGCTGGTGGTGGTGGCGAGGCTGGTGGTGGTGGCGAGGCTGGTGGTGGCGGCGAGGCTGGTGGTGGCGGCGAGGCTGGTGGTGGCGGCGAGGCTGGTGGTGGCGGCGAGGCTGGTGGTGGCGGCGAGGCTGGTGGTGGTGGCGAGGCTGGTGGTGGCGGCGAGGCTGGTGGTGGCGGCGAGGCTGGTGGTGGCGGCGAGGCTGGTGGTGGCGGCGGCGAGGCTGGTGGTGGCGGCGAGGCTGGTGGGGGCGGCGAGGCTGGTGGTGGCGGCGAGGCTGGTGGGGGCGGCGAGGCTGGTGGTGGTGGCGAGGCTGGTGGTGGCGGCGAGGCTGGTGGTGGCGGCGAGGCTGGTGGTGGCGGCGAGGCTGGTGGTGGCGGCGAGGCTGGTGGTGGCGGCGAGGCTGGTGGTGGCGGCGAGGCTGGTGGTGGCGGCGAGGTTGGTGGTGGCGGCGAGGCTGGTGGTGGCGGCGAGGCTGGTGGTGGTGGCGAGGCTGGTGGTGGCGGCGAGGCTGGTGGTGGCGGCGAGGCTGGTGGTGGCGGCGAGGCTGGTGTTGGCGGCGAGGCTGGTGGTGGCGGCGAGGCTGGTGGTGGCGGCGAGGCTGGTGGTGGCGGCGAGGCTGGGGGTGGCGGCGAGGCTGGTGGTGGCGGCGAGGCTGGTGGTGGTGGCGAGGCTGGTGGTGGCGGCGAGGCTTGTGGTGGCGAGGCTGGTGGTGGCGGTGAGGCTGGTGGTGGCGAGGCTTGTGGCGGCGAGGCTGGTGGTGGTGGCGAGGCTGGTGGTGGTGGCGAGGCTGGTGGTGGTGGCGAGGCTTGTGGTGGTGGCGAGGCTGGTGGTGGCGGCGAGGCTGGTGGTGGCGAGGCTTGTGGCTGCGAGGCTGGTGGTGGTGGCGAGACTGGTGGTGGCGAGGCTTGTGGTGGTGGCGAGGCTGGTGGTGGTGGCGAGGCTAGTGGTGGTGGCGAGGCTGGTGGTGGTGGCGAGGCTTGTGGTGGTGGCGTGACTGGTGGTGGCGGCGAGGCTGGTGGTGGCGAGGCTTGTGGCGGCGAGGCTGGTGGTGGTGGCGAGGCTGGTGGTGGTGGCGAGGCTTGTGGTGGTGGCGAGGCTGGTGGTGGTGGCGAGGCTGGTGGTGGTGGCGAGGCTGGTGGTGGTGGCGAGGCTTGTGGTGGTGGCGAGGCTGGTGTTGGTGGCGAGGCTGGTGGTGGCGGCGAGGCTGGTGGTGGCGAGGCTTGTGGTGGCGGCGAGGCTGGTGGTGGTGGCGAGGCTGGTGGTGGTGGCGAGGCTGGTGGTGGTGGCGAGGCTGGTGGTGGTGGCGAGGCTGGTGGTGGTGGCGAGGCTGGTGGTGGTGGCGAGGCTGGTGGTGGTGGCGAGGTTGGTGGTGGTGGCGAGGCTTGTGGTGGTGGCGAGGCTTGTGGTGGTGGCGAGGCTGGTGGTGGTGGCGAGGCTGGTGGTGGTGGCGAGGCTGGTAGTGGCGAGGCTGGTGGTGGCGGCGAGGCTGGTGGTGGTGGCGAGGCTGGTGGTGGTGGCGAGGCTGGTGGTGGTGGCGAGGCTGGTGGTGGCGGCGAGGCTGGTGGTGGTGGCGAGGCTGGTGGTGGCGGCGAGGCTGGTGGTGGCGGCGAGGCTGGTGGTGGCAGCGAGGCTGGTGGTGGTGGCGAGGCTGGTGGTGGCGGCGAGGCTGGTGGTGGCGGCGAGGCTGGTGGTGGCGGCGAGGTTGGTGGTGGCGAGGCTGGTGGTGGTGGCGAGGCTGGTGGTGGTGGCGAGGCTGGTGGTGGTGGCGAGGCTGGTGGTGGCGGCGAGGCTGGTGGTGGCGGCGAGGCTGGTGGTGGCGGCGAGGCTGGTGGTGGCAGCGAGGCTGGTGGTGGTGGCGAGGCTGGTGGTGGCGGCGAGGCTGGTGGTGGCGGCGAGGCTGGTGGTGGCGGCGAGGCTGGTGGTGGCGGCGAGGCTGGTGGTGGTGGCGAGGCTGGTGGTGGTGGCGAGGCTGGTGGTGGTGGCGAGGCTGGTGGTGGCGGCGAGGCTGGTGGTGGCGGCGAGGCTGGTGGTGGCGGCGAGGCTGGTGGTGGCGGCGAGGCTGGTGGTGGTGGCGAGGCTGGTGGTGGCGGCGAGGCTGGTGGTGGCGGCGAGGCTGGTGGTGGCGGCGAGGCTGGTGGTGGCGGCGAGGCTGGTGGTGGTGGCGAGGCTGGTGGTGGCGGCGAGGCTGGTGTTGGTGGCGAGGCTGGTGGTGGTGGCGAGGCTGGTGGTGGTGGCGAGGCTGGTGGTGGTGGCGAGGCTGGTGGTGGCGGCGAGGCTGGTGGTGGCGGCGAGGCTGGTGGTGGCGGCGAGGCTGGTGGTGGCGGCGAGGCTGGTGGTGGCGGCGAGGCTGGTGGTGGTGGCGAGGCTGGTGGTGGCAGCGAGGCTGGTGGTGGCGGCGAGGCTGGTGGTGGCGGCGAGGCTGGTGGTGGCGGCGGCGAGGCTGGTGGTGGCGGCGAGGCTGGTGGGGGCGGCGAGGCTGGTGGTGGCGGCGAGGCTGGTGGGGGCGGCGAGGCTGGTGGTGGTGGCGAGGCTGGTGGTGGCGGCGAGGCTGGTGGTGGCGGCGAGGCTGGTGGTGGCGGCGAGGCTGGTGGTGGCGGCGAGGCTGGTGGTGGCGGCGAGGCTGGTGGTGGCGGCGAGGCTGGTGGTGGCGGCGAGGCTGGTGGTGGTGGCGAGGCTGGTGGTGGCGGCGAGGCTGGTGGTGGCGGCGAGGCTGGTGGTGGCGGCGAGGCTGGTGTTGGCGGCGAGGCTGGTGGTGGTGGCGAGGCTGGTGGTGGCGGCGAGGCTGGTGGTGGCGGCGAGGCTGGTGGTGGCGGCGAGGCTGGGGGTGGCGGCGAGGCTGGTGGTGGCGGCGAGGCTGGTGGTGGTGGCGAGGCTGGTGGTGGCGGCGAGGCTGGTGGTGGTGGCGAGGCTGGTGGTGGCGGCGAGGCTGGTGGTGGCGGCGAGGCTGGTGGTGGTGGCGAGGCTGGTGGGGGCGGCGAGGCTGGTGGTGGCGGCGAGGCTGGTGGGGGCGGCGAGGCTGGTGGTGGTGGCGAGGCTGGTGGTGGTGGCGAGGCTGGTGGTGGTGGCGAGGCTGGTGGTGGCGGCGAGGCTGGTGGTGGCGGCGAGGCTGGTGGTGGCGGCGAGGCTGGTGGTGGCGGCGAGGCTGGTGGTGGCGGCGAGGCTGGTGGTGGCGGCGAGGTTGGTGGTGGCGGCGAGTCTGGTGGTGGCGGCGAGGCTGGTGGTGGTGGCGAGGCTGGTGGTGGCGGCGAGGCTGGTGGTGGCGGCGAGGCTGGTGGTGGCGGCGAGGCTGGTGGTGGCGGCGAGGCTGGTGGTGGTGGCGAGGTTGGTGGTGGTGGCGAGGCTGGTGGTGGTGGCGAGGCTGGTGGTGGCGGCGAGGCTGGTGGTGGTGGCGAGGCTGGTGGTGGTGGCGAGGCTGGTGGTGGCGGCGAGGCTGGTGGTGTCGGCGAGGCTGGTGGTGTCGGCGAGTCTGGTGGTGGTGGCGAGGCTGGTGGTGGTGGCGAGGCTGGTGGTGGCGGCGAGGCTGGTGGTGGTGGCGAGGCTGGTGGTGGTGGCGAGGCTGGTGGTGGCGAGGTTGGTGGTGGTGGCGAGGCTGGTGGTGGTGGCGAGGTTGGTGGTGGTGGCGAGGCTGGTGGTGGCGGCGAGGCTGGTGGTGTCGGCGAGGCTGGTGGTGTCGGCGAGGCTGGTGGTGTCGGCGAGGCTGGTGGTGTCGGCGAGGCTGGTGGTGTCGGCGAGGCTGGTGGTGGTGGCGAGGCTGGTGGTGTCGGCGAGGCTGGTGGTGTCGGCGAGGCTGGTGGTGGTGGCGAGGCTGGTGGTGGCGGCGAGGCTGGTGGTGGTGGCGAGGCTGGTGGTGGTGGCGAGGCTGGTGGTGGTGGCGAGGCTGGTGGTGGTGGCGAGGCTGGTGGCGTCACAAGTCAAACACAGGTTAACAACAGTTTGTCATAAAAAACTGCATAAAACATCTGATGAGCAGTTGAAGCTGGAGACAACGATAGCACTTGCTTGAGGACCGGGGAAAAGGCACATTGCCTTACCTTCCAGGACTTTGTTAACAGAGGTCCATAATAGTCAATATATCCAGCGCGCCTGACGTCTCTCCGTGACCAGGTCTGGGAGGTGACTGAGGCCCAGTGAGCGGCCTAGTGTCACCTCTGGCGTGTGACGTCATGGGCTTACTGCCCCTCTGATTGGCTACACAACAACCGTCTTACAGTTTGAATGTTAACACTTTACTGTCACCATTACTCCCATTATTACTAACACTATTGCTACCACTATTACTACTGTCATTACTATCACTATTACAACTACAGTTACTACCACCATTACTACCACTATTACTATCACCATTACTGCCACCATTAACTGCTACCATTACTACCACTATTACATAGTATTTGAACACATGTTCATGTATGTAGATTTATTAATGTAAAATATGTTTCTTACTAATGTGCACATTACCGTCACACTCCCAGTAACACCACCAGTAACACCAGGAGCACGTCACACCATCAGTAACACCACCAGTAACACCAGGAGCACGTCACACCACCAGTAACACCACCAGTAACACCAGGAGCACGTCACACCACCAGTAACACCAGGAGCACGTCACACCACCAGTAACACCATCAGTAACACTAGGAGCATCTCACACCATCAGTAACACCAGGAGCACGTAACACCACCAGTAACACCAGGAGCACGTAACACCACCAGTAACATCAGGAGCACGTAACACCACCAGTAACACCAGGAGCACGTCACACCATCAGTAACACTAGGAGCATCTCACACCATCAGTAACACTAGGAGCACGTAACACCACCAGTAACACCAGGAGCACGTCACACCATCAGTAACACTAGGAGCATCTCACACCATCAGTAACACTAGGAGCACGTAACACCACCAGTAACACCAGGAGCACGTAACACCACCAGTAACACTAGGAGCACGTAACACCACCAGTAACTCCACCAGTAACACCAGGAGCACGTCACACCACCAGTAACACCAGGAGCACGTCACACCACCAGTAACACCTGGAGCACGTAACACCACCAGTAACACCAGGAGCACGTCACACCATCAGTAACACCAGGAGCACGTAACATCACCAGTAACACCAGGAGCACGTAACACCACCAGTAACACCACAAGTAACACCAGGAGCACGTCACACCACCAGTAACACCACAAGTAACACCAGGAGCACGTAACACCATCAGTAACACTAGGAGCACGTAACACCACCAGTAACACTAGGAGCACGTAACACCACCAGTAACACCAGGAGCACGTAACACCACCAGTAACACCACAAGTAACACCAGGAGCACGTCACACCACCAGTAACACCACAAGTAACACCAGGAGCACGTCACACCACCAGTAACACCACAAGTAACACCAGGAGCACGTAACACCATCAGTAACACTAGGAGCACGTAACACCACCAGTAACACTAGGAGCACGTAACACCACCAGTAACACCAGGAGCACGTAACACCACCAGTAACACCACAAGTAACACCAGGAGCACGTCACACCACCAGTAACACCACAAGTAACACCAGGAGCACGTAACACCATCAGTAACACTAGGAGCACGTAACACCACCAGTAACACTAGGAGCACGTAACACCACCAGTAACACCAGGAGCACGTAACACCACCAGTAACACTAGGAGCACGTCACACCACCAGTAACACCAGGAGCACGTAACACCACCAGTAACACCAGGAGCACGTAACACCACCAGTAACACCAGGAGCACGTAACACCACCAGTAACACTAGGAGCACGTAACACCACCAGTAACACCAGGAGCACGTAACACCACCAGTAACACCAGGAGCACGTCACACCACCAGTAACACCAGGAGCATGTAACACCACCAGTAACACTAGGAGCACGTAACACCACCAGTAACACCTGGAACACGTCACACCACCAGTAACACCAGGAGCACGTAACACCACCAGTAACACTAGGAGCACGTAACACCACCAGTAACACCAGGATCACGTCACACCACCAGTAACACCAGGAGCACGTAACACCACCATTAACACCAGGAGCACGTAACACCACCAGTAACACCAGGAGCACGTAACACCACCAGTAACACCAGGAGCACGTAACACCACCAGTAACACCAAAAGCACGTCACACCACTAGTAACACTAGGAGCACGTAACACCACCAGTAACACTAGGAGCACGTAACACCACCAGTAACACCAGGAGCACGTAACACCACCAGTAACACCAGGAGCACGTCACACCACCAGTAACACCAGGAGCACGTCACACCATCAGTAACACCAGGAGCACGTAACACCACCAGTAACACCAGGAGCACGTAACACCACCAGTAACACCAGGAGCACGTAACACCACCAGTAACACCACCAGTAACACCAGGAGCACGTCACACCACCAGTAACACCAGGAGCACGTCACACCACCAGTAACACCTGGAGCACGTAACACCACCAGTAACACCAGGAGCACGTCACACCACCAGTAACACCTGGAGCACGTAACACCACCAGTAACACCAGGAGCACGTAACAAAACCAGTAACACCAGGAGCACGTCACACCACCAGTAACACAAGGAGCCCGTCACACCATCAGTAACACCAGGATCACGTCACACCATCAGTAACACCAGGAGCACGTCACACCATCAGTAACACCACCAGTAACACCAGGATCACGTCACACCACCAGTAACACCAGGATCACGTCACACCACCAGTAACACCAGGATCACGTCACACCACCAGTAACACCAGGAGCACGTCACACCAACAGTAACACCACCAGTAACACCAGGAGCACGTCACACCACCAGTAACACCACAAGTAACACCAGGAGCACGTCACACCACCAGTAACACCAGGAGCACGTCACACCACCAGTAACACCACCAGTAACACCAGGAGCACGTCACACTACCAGTAACACCACAAGTAACACCAGGAGCACGTCACACCACCAGTAACACCACAAGTAACACCAGGAGCACGTCACACCACCAGTAACACCACAAGTAACACCAGGAGCACGTCACACCACCAGTAACACCATCAGTAACACGTCACACCACCAGTAACACCAGGAGCACGTCACACCACCAGTAACACCAGGAGCACGTCACACCACCAGTAACACCAGGAGCACGAAACACCACCAGTAACACCAGGAGCACGTAACACCACCAGTAACACTAGGAGCACGTAACACCACCAGTAACACCACCAGTAACACCACCAGTAACACCAGGAGCACGTAACACCACCAGTAACACCACCAGTAACACCAGGAGCACGTCACACCACCAGTAACACTAGGAGCACGTAACACCACCAGTAACACTAGGAGCACGTAACACCACCAGTAACACTAGGAGCACGTCACACCACCAGTAACACCAGGAGCACGTAACACCACCAGTAACACCAGGAGCACGTAACACCACCAGTAACACCAGGAGCACGTAACACCACCAGTAACACTAGGAGCACGTAACACCACCAGTAACACTAGGAGCACGTAACACCACCAGTAACACCAGGAGCACGTAACACCACCAGTAACACCAGGAGCACGTCACACCACCAGTAACACCAGGAGCATGTAACACCACCAGTAACACTAGGAGCACGTAACACCACCAGTAACACCTGGAACACGTCACACCATCAGTAACACCAGGAGCACGTAACACCACCAGTAACACCAGGAGCACGTAACACCACCAGTAACACCAGGAGCACGTAACACCACCAGTAACACCAGGAGCACGTAACACCACCAGTAACACCAGGAGCACGTCACACCACTAGTAACACTAGGAGCACGTAACACCACCAGTAACACTAGGAGCACGTAACACCACCAGTAACACCAGGAGCACGTAACACCACCAGTAACACCAGGAGCACGTCACACCACCAGTAACACCAGGAGCACGTCACACCATCAGTAACACCAGGAGCACGTAACACCACCAGTAACACCAGGAGCACGTAACACTACCAGTAACACCAGGAGCACGTAACACCACCAGTAACACCACCAGTAACACCAGGAGCACGTCACACCACCAGTAACACCAGTAGCACGTCACACCACCAGTAACACCTGGAGCACGTAACACCACCAGTAACACCAGGAGCACGTCACACCACCAGTAACACCAGGAGCACGTCACACCACCAGTAACACCAGCAGCACGTAACAAAACCAGTAACACCAGGAGCACGTCACACCACCAGTAACACTAGGAGCACGTAACACCATCAGTAACACCAGGATCACGTCACACCATCAGTAACACCAGGAGCGCGTCACACCATCAGTAACACCACCAGTAACACCACCAGTAACACCAGGAGCACGTCACACCACCAGTAACACCAGGAGCACGTAACAGTAACACCAGGAGCACGTCACACCACCAGTAACACCAGGATCACGTCACACCACCAGTAACACCAGGATCACGTCACACCACCAGTAACACCAGGAGCACGTCACACCAACAGTAACACCACCAGTAACACCAGGAGCACGTCACACCACCAGTAACACCACAAGTAACACCAGGAGCACGTCACACCACCAGTAACACCAGGAGCACGTCACACCACCAGTAACACCAGGAGCACGTCACACTACCAGTAACACCACAAGTAACACCAGGAGCACGTCACACCACCAGTAACACCACAAGTAACACCAGGAGCACGTCACACCACCAGTAACACCACAAGTAACACCAGGAGCACGTCACACCACCAGTAACACCATCAGTAACACGTCACACCACCAGTAACACCAGGAGCACGTCACACCACCAGTAACACCAGGAGCACGTCACACCACCAGTAACACCAGGAGCACGTAACACCACCAGTAACACCAGGAGCACGTAACACCACCAGTAACACTAGGAGCACGTAACACCACCAGTAACACCACCAGTAACACCAGGAGCACGTAACACCACCAGTAACACCATCAGTAACACCACCAGTAACACCAGGAGCATCTCACACCATCAGTAACACCAGGAGCACGTAACACCACCAGTAACACCAGGAGCACGTCACACCACCAGTAACACCAGGAGCACGTAACACCACCAGTAACACCAGGAGCACGTAACACCACCAGTAACACCACCAGGAGCACGTAACACCACCAGTAACACCAGGAGCACGTAACACCACCAGTAACACCAGGAGCACGTAACACCACCAGTAACACCAGGAGCACGTAACACCACCAGTAACACCAGGAGCACGTAACACCACCAGTAACACCTGGAGCACGTAACACCAGGAGCACGTAACACCACCAGTAACACCAAGAGCACGTAACACCACCAGTAACACCAGGAGCACGTAACACCAGTAACACTAGGAGCACGTCACACCACCAGTAACACCAGGAGCACGTAACACCACCAGTAACACCAGGAGCACGTCACACCACCAGTAACACCAGGAGCACATAACACCATCAGTAACACCAGGAGCACGTAACACCATCAGTAACACCAGGAGCACGTAACACCACCAGTAATACCAGGAGCACGTAACACCACCAGTAACACCAGGAGCACGTAACACCACCAGTAATACCACCAGTAACACGACTAGTAACACCTGGAGCACGTAACACCACCAGTAACACCACCAGTAAGACTAGGAGCATGTAACACCACCAGTAACACCACCAGTAACACCAGGAGCACGTAACACCACCAGTAACACGACTAGTAACACCAGGAGCACGTCACACCACCAGTAACACCACCAGTAACACCACCAGTAACACCACCAGTAACACCACCAGTAACACCACCAGTAACACCACCAGTAACACCACCAGTAACACCACCAGTAACACCACCAGTAACACCACCAGTAACACCACCAGTAACACCACAGAGAGGCGGTAAAGACATGGGTAAAGTGCTGACGTAATATCTTCATTGAGTTAAACAATTTGGTCGGAGCCCAGCTGGTAGGTGGCTCCCAGCTGGTAGGTGGCTCCCAGCTGGTAGGTGGCTCCCAGCTGGTAGGTGGCTCCCAGCTGGTAGGTGGCTCCCAGCTGGTAGGTGGCGCCCAGCTGGTAGGTGGCTCCCAGCTGGTAGGTGGCTCCCAGCTGGTAGGTGGCTCCCAGCTGGTAGGTGGCTCCCAGCTGGTAGGTGGCTCCCAGCTGGTAGGTGGCTCCCAGCTGGTAGGTGGCGCCCAGCTGGTAGGTGGCTCCCAGCTGGTAGGTGGCTCCCAGCTGGTAGGTGGCTCCCAGCTGGTAGGTGGCGCCCAGCTGGTAGGTGGCGCCCAGCTGGTAGGTGGCTCCCAGCTGGTAGGTGGCTCCCAGCTGGTAGGTGGCTCCCAGCTGGTAGGTGGCTCCCAGATGGTAGATTTGGTCCTGGAGCCAGGTCTCCGGGGTGGTCGTGGAGCCAGGTCTCCGGTGTGGTCATGGAGCCAGGTCTCCGGGGTGGTCGTGGAGCCAGGTCTCCGGTGTGGTCATGGAGCCAGGTCTCCAGGGTGGTCGTGGAGCCAGGTCTCCGGGTGGTCGTGGAGCCAGGTCTCCCTGGTGGTCGTGGAGCCAGGTCTCCGGGGTGGTCGTGGAGCCAGGTCTCCGGGGTGGTCGTGGAGCCAGGTCTCCGGGGAGGTCGTGGAGCCAGGTCTCCCGGGTGGTCGTGGAGCCAGGTCTCCGGGGTGGTCGTGGAGCCAGGTCTCCGGTGTGGTGCTGGAGCCAGGTCTCCGGTGTGGTCGTGGAGCCAGGTCTCCGGTGTGGTGCTGGAGCCAGGTCTCCGGGTGGTGCTGGAGCCAGGTCTCCGGTGTGGTCGTGGAGCCAGGTCTCCGGTGTGGTGCTGGAGCCAGGTCTCCGGGGTGGTGCTGGAGCCAGGTCTCCGGCGTGGTCATGGAGCCAGGTCTCCCGGGTGGTCGTGGAGCCAGGTCTCCGGGGTGGTCGTGGAGCCAGGTCTCCGGGGTGGTGCTGGAGCCAGGTCTCCGGCGTGGTCATGGAGCCAGGTCTCCCGGGTGGTCGTGGAGCCAGGTCTCCGGGGTGGTCGTGGAGCCAGGTCTCCGGGGTGGTCGTGGAGCCAGGTCTCCGGGGTGGTGCTGGAGCCAGGTCTCCGGCGTGGTCATGGAGCCAGGTCTCCCGGGTGGTCGTGGAGCCAGGTCTCCGGCGTGGTCGTGGAGCCAGGTCTCCGGGGTGGTCGTGGAGCCAGGTCTCCGGGGTGGTCGTGGAGCCAGGTCTCCGGGGTGGTCATGGAGCCAGGTCTCCCGGGTGGTCGTGGAGCCAGGTCTCCCGGTGGTCGTGGAGCCAGGTCTCCGGGGTGGTCGTGGAGCCAGGTCTCCGGGGTGGTCATGGAGCCAGATCTCCCGGGTGGTCGTGGAGCCAGGTCTCCGGGGTGGTCGTGGAGCCAGGTCTCCCGGGTGGTCGTGGAGCCAGGTCTCCCGGGTGGTCGTGGAGCCAGTCTCCGGGGTCTCCGGGGTGGTCGTGGAGCCAGGTCTCCGGTGTGGTCGTGGAGCCAGGTCTCCGGGGTGGTCGTGGAGCCAGGTCTCCGGTGTGGTCGTGGAGCCAGGTCTCCGGGGTGGTCCTGGAGCCAGGTCTCCGGGGTGGTCGTGGAGCCAGGTCTCCGGGGTGGTCCTGGAGCCAGGTCTCCAGGGTGGTGCTGGAGCCAGGTCTCCGGGGTGGTCATGGAGCCAGGTCTCCGGGGTGGCCCTGGAGCCAGGTCTCCGGGGTGGTCATGGAGCCAGGTCTCCGGGGTGGTGCTGGAGCCAGGTCTCCGGGGTGGTCATGGAGCCAGGTCTCCCGGGTGGTCGTGGAGCCAGGTCTCCGGTGTGGTCGTGGAGCCAGGTCTCCCGGGTGGTCGTGGAGCCAGGTCTCCGGTGTGGTCGTGGAGCCAGGTCTCCGGCGTGGTCATGGAGCCAGGTCTCCGGGGTGGCCCTGGAGCCAGGTCTCCGGGGTGGTCATGGAGCCAGGTCTCCGGGGTGGCCCTGGAGCCAGGTCTCCGGGGTGGTCATGGAGCCAGGTCTCCGGGGTGGTCCTGGAGCCAGGTCTCCAGGGTGGTGCTGGAGCCAGGTCTCCGGTGTGGTCGTGGAGCCAGGTCTCCGGTGTGGTCGTGGAGCCAGGTCTCCGGTGTGGTCATGGAGCCAGGTCTCCGGTGTGGTCGTGGAGCCAGGTCTCCGGGGTGGTCGTGGAGCCAGGTCTCCGGTGTGGTCGTGGAGCCAGGTCTCCGGTGTGGTCGTGGAGCCAGGTCTCCGGTGTGGTCGTGGAGCCAGGTCTCCGGGGTGGTCGTGGAGCCAGGTCTCCGGTGTGGTCGTGGAGCCAGGTCTCCGGTGTGGTCGTGGAGCCAGGTCTCCGGTGTGGTCGTGGAGCCAGGTCTCCGGTGTGGTCATGGAGCCAGGTCTCCGGTGTGGTCGTGGAGCCAGGTCTCCGGTGTGGTCGTGGAGCCAGGTCACCTCTCCAGCCTGTTATTGCCCTCATCAACCATAAAGCAGATCTGACTAGATGTTTTACCGTGAGATCGTTGAGAAAGCAGACATGCTGCACTCTGAATACCAAGTAATGGGAGGCGGAGGACGTCTGGACAGGAGGTGGCCAGATGTACCAGGTATAAGGACGGGTCTAGTTGTCTATGCAAGCCATGCCGCAGCGTCCTCACATCATACCCATTACCCTGAGAAACAACACTCACTCTCATACCACCTGGATCTAGATCTAGGTCCATCTAGATCCAGATATCATACCATCTAGATATTTGTGATGGTCTGAAACCATATTACGGTTGTAGTAATAGTTTACATGTAAACTGGCAAATGAAAGTTTGTTGTAAACAGAGTTTATTCTCTAGTTATAACTTTACTGTAATATAAATCGTTGGTATAAAATATAAAGAGTATGCCCTAGAAGCATTTTCTTTGACAAATTTATTCTGTAAACAGAATTTGCGGGCACACTCAAATAGTTGTAAATACCATAAATTCATAGTATCGTCAATAATACGTCGTATTAACGTAACCAAGAATAACGAAACCCAACCTAACTTCCCAAAACCTTAACCTAAAGGTGTAAACTTGTCAGTCATTTGTTTATTATGCAACTTTGCCAAAGTGTACTGGAGTTCTTGTACAAAATAACTATGTACTAACTCGTGTACTAACTTAACCATGGATAGAGTAGTAGATAATAGCACAATCTTGTAGTCATTCCCATGAGTGGATCTCCTCCGTAAGGACAGGTTGGTAGCCGCCAGGAGACAACACGTGCACGAACGTGGGCGTGCTCTTCCTCCCTCGTCCCCGCTTCGGGCACCTACACCCTGCAACACGAACTCATTTGGAAAGTGTTCTCTCACGCAGTACTTACAGGGGTAAATACCAACTGCATGACAATAACAGCTAGCAATATGCAAGTGCTACACTTCAGGACAGACACAAACCCCAGTTACTTCTTAATTACTCTAAGGCAAAGTATTCCCTTACAGGCATAATACCTAAACAATTGCCTAAACTTGACAATTACCTGAGCGGAACACGCCACTCTCCGTTACCCTCTGAGCTCTAAGTGGAGACTGGCACTACTGCCTTCATCTCTTCCTGGCATAAGTGTTTCTCTTGTCTACAACACACCCGTTAACACAGGCAGGTGTGTCCAACTCCCAGGTGTGTGGTGGTGGTGTCCACTGACACAGGCAGGTGTGTTCAACACTCGGGTAGACGAACAAACAAAACAACACTTGAGCAGTCAAAGGTATATACATTTTGTCACAAGACGGGAGCTGCCGTGCCACTTGTGTGTGACCCCCGGGACCCGTCACCGTGGCTCTCCTGCAGGGTGCCGGGCTCTCACAATAGAGCAACCGTATGGGCGTTGGCGGCCCCGGGGCCCGGTGGACATCCCCGGGGGCCCGGTGGACGGCCCCGGGGCCCGGTGGACGGCCCCGGGGGCCCGGTGGACGGCCCCGGGGCCCCGGTGGACGGCCCCGGGGCCCCGGTGGACGGCCCCGGGGCCCGGTGGAGGGCCCCTGGGGGTATGGAGGACGGCCCCGAGGACAGGAGAGCTCGGCGCGGCAGAAATAGAGTGCGAGGTTCCGCGCGGGTAAACTCTGGTATAAGTTCGGGGAACTTAATACGAGAATGTCGTGGGGTGGAAGCCCGGGGGGGGGGGGGTGGGTATGGGGGTAGGGGGGGGGGGGAACAGTCCGCCCCACACCACTGTCCTCAGTCTCAACTTAGTTTTTTGAAAGGACAGTTGTTTGGTCGCCAGAGTGTAGTTATTGTGTAGTTACTGTGTAGTGGCTGAGAGACCTCACTTAACCACACCTAGAACAACCCGTCCTCCTCCTAATAGAACGTCGTATTTTGACGTATACTCAACCTAAGGCCAAAAATCGTCGTACTATAAAATTGTAACAGCTTGCGATATTGACGTACTGTCCCGTTTTCTGTTATGGGTTCTCTGGTAGGTTAGGGTAAGGGCACTTTAGTACGACAGTTTCTTGACGTTGGGAAACGTTAGGAGGACGGGCAGGACGGTCTCGTTCGGGAATTCCAGGGTCGAATCCCGGGCACCTAATACACCTGTTCACCTGGCTATAAGTAGTCACCCAGGAGTTAGCTTGTTGTGGAGTTCGATCCTGGGTGGGTGGGCGGGGGGGGGGGGGGTGGGGGTCAGGAGTGCCACCTTGGGCAGACCTCGATACAAGACAAACATGTATATATACACACTGGCTGCCTGCTGGGGTGCAGTGCCAGTTGTATTGGTTCCGGACCTCTCGTGACCTTGAAAAAAAGCCTGTCTTTTCCTATCCTGTTTCTATATGTCACACGATGAAGTATTTCGTGTTTGTACTCAATTATAAAATATAATTATAAAAAAATAAGGAAAAAACATCAATGATGTATTTATCAATTTAAGAAGTTTAAACACTTAGTGCTCACACAATACAAGCAGCGAGAAGTCTCACAATAGTTTCCACGAGGGGTCAGGATCTGACAGTTGCCGCCGGAGGTGGCTAGTATATTGTGCACCCCATACTCATCATGCGAGCGGTAGCGCAAAAAGGACTACAGAGGGCACAAAAGGTGTTTATCAAACCTCAATGGAGATTATTACATTAATAATTTCATCCCTCATTAACACCTTATAATTACAATGTCAGCTAGTTCATTATACATTAATGGTAAGTCTTATCGTTCATACATAATTGAGCAATGGAGATATTACAGTCATAAGGGAGCTGCTGTTTGTTATTATTAGTCTTCACAATACAATACTTGTTTCTTAATCTCATGTCATTTGTCTACTGGGAGCGAAATATGGATAGTGTGTAAGGATTTCAGGTATTTTATCCTTAGTAATCAGATGGGTTGTTGCCATATCATACAACGTGAGTCAAAGAGTTAGTCATGAGAGGTTCTCGGGGGTGTGAGGCAACTCTTGTCCTGGTCTCATCTGCCCACCTGTGGTACCGCTGCCATGATATATGGCATATGGCTCAGGATCTGTGGTACCGCTGCCATGATATATGGCATATGGCTCAGGATCTGTGGTACCGCTGCCATGATATATGGCATATGGCTCAGGATCTGTGGTACCGCTGCCATGATATATGGCATATGGCTCAGGATCTGTGGTACCGCTGCCATGATATATGGCATATGGCTCAGGATCTATGGTACCGCTGCCATGATATATACGGCATATGGCTCAGGAGTCCACTGAACTAGAGGAGGTCCATGTAGTTTAACAAACATAAATTCTGATACAGGATTTATGAGAATTCTTGAGCGTGTTGTTGTTGTTATCAGGTTCATCTGACTGAACCCCCTATCACACACACCAGTACTAAGAGGAATAACTTGTAAACACCTCAGGAATGGATGTTAACCATAGGGGATGCGGCGCTCATGATCTTCCTCATAGTCTCTAACCAGTATATGACAGCTATAACAGAGGAAATTATTGAAATTTATTTGGTAAGATTTAATTAATATTTACCCCTGTTTGGGTGGGTGGCCGTGTGGTGTACCGGCGTACCCTAATACACCAACATTACTGGCCTGGAATGACTTAGATTTAATGGGTACTCGGGTACAGAACACTTCCCTTATTGTTCACGAACATCGTGCTGGTGATGGGAGCTGTTTACTGTTGTTGTTAATAATTAATGTGTCCTGTCTAAGCTCGATTATGGTTGCCCTGCTTACTCGTCTGCTTCTCCTTCTACTCTTCGCCGTCTTGATGCTTTGCACCATACTGGGTTGCGCCTCAGTTCTGGTGCCTTTCGTTCGACTCCCGTCCTTAGCTTGTATGTTGACACTGGCTTCCTGTCTCTCCAGGACCGCCGTGATCGCTACTGTCTTCGGTATCTTGCGCGGTCCTTGCAACATCCTTCCTCTCGTCTCTGTCGTGCTTTAACTTTTACCCCTCCTGCGGTTCCTGTTCCTCTTCACCACCTCCCTCTTTCTGTCCGGTTATCTCGCCTGCAGGATTCTCTTTCCGTTCGTATTTCTGATGTTTCTCCTCGTGTTGTTCCTTCTTTGCCCCCGTGGAGGGTCCCTCTTCCGCGGTTTTGTACATCCTTGACTCGCATCACTAAAGCTTTTACCCCTCCTACAGTTCTAAAACGCCTTTTCCTCGAGCACTTTTCTTCTCACTCCCGCTCCGTTTCTGTCTTCACCGATGGGTCTAAGT